CATCTAAATTTGTAGATACTTGAGCGAAATCATCCTTTCCGCGCGTGCGCGATTTTATTAGATTTTAACAAACATTTTGATTAAAAGCCTAATGTTTCGCTGTCGGCTTTAATTTCTCAGACCGTTGCGGATCGTTGATAAATCGAGCCCTTCGGTGTTACAAAACAGCTCGAAGCGGCATCCGTGCTGTTACCTGTCCGATTATCTACGAGCGAGCATAGCGCGCCCGCGGGTTCGGATAAACCAATCAATAATTGATTCGTGCATGGATGCACGACACGTAATGAAGTTAAGCGAAATGCAATGGCGTTTTAATCGAACGCATGCCACTCTCGATGCGGTGGGCGCGATCGACCAATTAACCGGCCGATTTCCGCATCTCAACGCCGGAGATCAATCGCCTCGCGGATCTGCGAAATCCAAACGTATCGAACATTATTGCACAAATAGCAAACGCTTGCAGATCTCGATCGACTCACTGACAAATGTACACAAAAAGAACGATTTTGCTAGGATATCTAAATATTTAATTAGATCTGAAAATAATTTTTGTTGAACCATCAAATAATAATTATTTATTAAGATGCTAACTTTTTGCGGCATTGCTCATAATGTTCGAGCATTCTGTGACTATCAGAAAAATTTCTAGTTAAAAATAGACAAACCAGAATTGATATTCATTGATAGCCATTCTGATCGTTTCAATTAGAATTCTTAATTCAACTAGAATTGTAATAGATTTAGCTAGAAAATTCTGATTTGTCCATTTTCAATTCCACCAGAATTCCATTACAACTTTTTCTAGTTATTGTGCTATAATTATTATTATAATAGCCCATTATTTTGCCAATTATTTTGATAGTTCGGTAAAATTATTTTTAGATATATATTTATATTGTTAGATATAGGAGTAATGATAACTCAATTCCTTGAGCTAAACAACATTTTATTATTCCTAATTTCCATATGTATCAAAATGTAAATCAATCTATTTCTGAGATTAGTTTCAAAATAAACAATGTCTACGCTGAAGAAATTTACCTAAATATGATTACAATTTCCAGTAAATTTTCAATCATATTTAAATAATTTTCCGATCATAAACATGTAATTTCCATAAAAAATTATATGAATTTTTTTATATAATAACATAAGTAATTTAATAAATAAATAACGAACTGAATTTGAATAATAAACCAAATTTAATAAATTTTTTTAAGTTAAACTGTATAACTCCGCTTTTTTTTTAGTTAAGTAAAAAGTAGCAAGTTAAGTTAAAAATAATATATTCAGTAGAAGCAATGGCGATTAATAGAAAATAATTAAAAATAACTAATAATTAAAATGACTCAAATTGGGTATAATTTGACATTATAGTTTAACGGTATAGTTAAATAATATTTATACAAATATATAGATATTTATATAGCTGTATATATAGATACTTCAACAAAACCGCTCTATATACAGAAACGGTTTACGCAGTTGCATACATTTAAATTAATTTGAAGTCATAGGATTAATAGTCTCTCGTTAAAAAAAAATATAGAGTGCTTCAGGCCCGTTTACGTAGCCCCGTCGAAATTACATCGCTAATACTAGCCAATTGCACGCGGTTTAAATACCGCGTCGCCGCATCGTCTAATATTTGTTAATATTTCACTTCCGGCTTACTATTGCGCGCGGCACCGGGTTCAAGTCAGCCGTGCGCGTTGTCTAAAAATAGAATATAGATATCTACATGGATGTGAAACCCGGGAGGAGAGTCCGCGCGTGTCCAATATTTCGCAAACAAATCTCGCGCCGAATGAAATCGCAATAGAGGAGAGTGGAAGGAAGAAAGAGAGACATAAAACAGTTTCGATGCTGGAAAATTTTCAGATTTTCTCCGAGGATGTATCCGAAACACGAAATAAAACTTCGTTCTTCACCTCTGTGTCGTATTAATCCTCGGTTAAATACGCATCGCACGCGTTCGCCGCTATGTTCACTAGGTACGTATAGCTTTCACAGCGAGCAACGAGGAAACCTTATGCGAGAGAACGGAGAGAGGAAAATCGGACGATGGTGAGGGAGAAAGAGAGAGAAAATAGGAGAGGCGAGAGCACGGTTGGGGAAGGGATAGCACGCTGAAAAGATCCTGAAAAGGGGGATTCCACGGGAGAGGAGGCGAAGGGTAAAGGGTAGCTGAGGGTAGCGCAGGAAGGCCGAATGGACAATATGGCCGCCAGCGAGCGAAGGAAGCGCCGCCTGGAAACATTTTTCTGTTCCCGCCGCGAAATAGTTTTCGACCGTTGTTTCATTTGCTGACTTTTCCGATCGCGCTTAGGTTAGATCTGTTCAAATCCCGGCGAAATTGTATTGTTGATACGATGTATATTGGATCTGAATTGTAAATCTCGACGTAGAGAGGAAGAAATAACGCTTGGCGCTGCTTTCGAACGATATCCTTTCACATAGGATCTGTTGCTTTTATGTAAAAAAATGTTCTAAAAAAAAAAAAAAAATTATTAATATCTCCCATCTGCTGGTAATAAAGTTTCATACAACAAACGTCCAAAGATCAAGTTTTTTTCACACTCAGAGAGATTTAAAAAAGAAAATACTGGAAGCTTATATGAAGATTAAATCCTTTAAGATTAATTTCCTTATAATCATGATTAAATATAACGAGATTCGTCTCGATGGAAATGATAGTTATAGGAATTTAAATCTACATTTGCAGCAAAACATTTTATATCGACATTTAACTTTTTTGCTTTTCCTTTCCAAAGTTACTTAGAAAAACTTAATTTTATCCTGGTTTAAATGATTTGATAAAACTCTATTAATACAGAAGGCTTCACTAAACTTAGAAAAAAAAAACATTTGTGATAAATAAAGCAGAAACTTCGACCTAAGAAATAATAATAATAATAATAATAAAATAATAACTTTATAACAAAAAAAATGAACAGATGAATATAAATATAAACATCTATTTGTTATTCTGACTTTAACATAAAGAATAGAGGCAGTGTACTCTCTAAATTCTTTACAGTAGAATCTCACTCTAAAGAATGAAAAGTAAATTAATTTTGAAAAAAAAAAACTTAATTTTTAATTTTTAAAAAAAGGCTCAATTTTTAATCTTTAAAAGTGAGATGTTACTATTCCGAGTGAGACTCTAAAAATTTTAGAATATCTTGTAAAAAGAAGTTACAAAGTAGCAATTTAAGATTTCAAAATATTTGATATCATTCTGAGTAAAATTTGCACCAATCTTGAAAAAGAATAACTCAATTTTCAATCTTTAAAAGTGAGATTTCATTCTTCACAGTGAGATTCATTCTGAAAGTTTTAGAGTACCCTTAAAAAAAAAAATAATAAAGTAACCATTTGAGATGCGAATACAAATTTGCATAGCTGTTACAATTTAAAGGAATCTCAAATTTGTTTTCTTTAGAAAAATCAATCGTCTAAATCGATCTGACATGAAAAACACGTGCGTGATTGAGAAAACATATTTCACGATCGCAGGAAACGAGCCGTGGAGTTTCGCAGCGATGTGTGTGCGCTTGACCTGCCCTCGCTCACCATTTTACCAGCCATTGTTGCCACCATCTGAGACGAAAAATTGCGTTATGCACAAATTAGATGCCCGATGAATATTTCTCACCGATTTCACGACAATCCAACGCGACGTATGTTTTCGTCTTCGTTCCCATTTGAATCAGAATAAGAAAGACCAGGAATCCGCGTCGGGCTGCTCGTCTTTCATCTCGAGAGAGACATAACTTTTTTTTGGTTAAGTACGACAAACGACGGACTCATTCGCTCTTTGAAGCAATTCCGCAGACACTCGCGTGTTTTTTCAGTCAGAGAATAGAGCGATTGATGAAACAACGCGAAATATGGCTCTAAACATTACTAAGATGAAGAAAATGCGAGCGAATTCGAAAAACTACGACGATCGACGACGACGATCGTTGTCGGCCAACGAAAACGGGAATCATCATCGACGGTCGTAGAATTGCAATTTCTCGATAAATTTCCGCAATTCGAAACACTACTGCGTCACCGAACCGATTTGCGGTTCGAAAAAGCGTCGCTTACCTTAATGTGACAGGAATACAGAAGCTCGCTCGTAGCTCGGATGTAAACACAGGCATTTTTCCGCGGAAATGACACTGAGGCAGCCAAAACGACGTGCGTCTGAACACCGTTTACATCGCGGTTGACGCCGATGCGTCGCGCAGAGCGATTCTGCGTTATTAAATACCGCGGTAAACACGGGAATTCGGTCTCTCCACGGAAAACATCAATCGAAAACTAGAGATGGCAGCCATTACTTTTGTACAAAACAAAGGTTCACATCCACGGACTCGCGAGCGAGCGAGCCTCGAACCCAGCGTCTTTTCAGCGCTCACGATGCGGCGCTTAATTCAAATCAGTCGAGTCAATTTCCGCATCGATTCCGTTCCGCCGTCATTTTTTCGTCTGCGAGAAAGAGAGATCTTACGATCGCCGAAATTTGTATAGTGCAAAATTAAATGTGAGATACGCTACATGACGAAATCGAGATAATTAATTAGCGCGTGCAAATTCGCCGAAGGACAGACGCCTGATTGGGCCGAAGTTAACGACGATTGCGGGAAGATGTCGCGTCGCTCGCGCGCGGCGCCATCTGTCGGCGAGTGCGGTAAGCGTGAACGCCGTACGCTGCCAACGTCAGGGAGCTAAACTGCGTCGCACTACGCCGAATCTGATCGAGCCTGAACCGAGCTGAGCCGAGTCCAACCGAGCCACTGGCCGAGCGGATGGCCTCGGTTGGATTCGGCGTATAAACCGAAGAGTCACGATTGCGATCTCAAATTTTCCGTCGACCTCCCGAAAGTGCCCGAAAGTCACACGAATCCTCCGCCATCATCCACCACTGTCGCGGCCGCTTAGACAGCTTAGGTTCCATGAAACGTCACGATTACTGTGAAGAGACTGTAGTGGCTGGGAAGGACGTGCGTACATATGTTTATGAACGTTCTAATGTTGGTACTATCTGTCGCTACGCGCGAGAGAATACGAGGCGACGATCATCGCCGGTCACTGTCGTTTATTGATTTCCTGGCTTTATAGAGATATATATTTCTCGCATAAATACCGCGAGACACGATGTGCCGGCGTGATTGAGCAGGTACTTGTCGTTCGAGGACTCGTTTTGATGAAGTCCGCAGAAAGTTCTTTGCGCGAAAAAAGGAAGACAGGAAAGACAGGATTGTTTTTCGTGCGAGAGCTGTTTGAAGCAAAAGAATGAAATGCCAATAGCAATAAAAGAAAAAAAACCGAGAAAATGATTCATCAGGGGAGCCCAAATATAAATTTACGAATGAACACGTTTCGAATGATTATACGTTTCCGCAATTTTTGTGGGAATGTGATGTACTTCGTGGAATTGATATAATTGAATTCCATCGCGTGGATCGACGGTTTATTATCCAAATTGTTCGAGAAAAACATGACTGTACATGTTCGTTCAGATACGCACATTGATCTGTTAATCTTTTTTTTGTAGCTAAACTAATACTCCTTACATACTTAAAATGAAATAAGTATATGCCCGCAAAACACATTAACAATAACAACGCATTAATATATAATTTGTACTTAACAATGTAAAATTAAAATATAACAGTTATATGTATTTAAATTTAAAACTTTTATTATTATATTCCAAATTGAAATCCAGTTGATAACAACATATATATTCTTGTAAAATACTGAAAATTGTTATATCATAACTTATGTCTAACAACACTATTCTTCAAGTACTCAAGATTTGACAAAAACGAATTCTGCTCTAATAATAAAAACTTCTTAGAAACCTATTTTATTATTCCTTTTAATTTTAATAAATTTATGTTCTATTGATGTGTTGTAGATGAACGCCTATGTGCTTTTTTATATTTAGAGATGGCTGACGCGGATCCACAATTTAAACGCCTTTTACTGCCAGCGGAGGAAACTCTATTTGAACAGTTGCTGAGATTCGGTCTTTACGTAGGTGCAGTATTCCAAATCATGTGCTTGTTAGCTATAGTCGTGTATCAGGCTGGTCCATCCGACGGTGTGGCGGCTTTGAAGGTAACTTCTGGCTGTTGCAGATTGTTAAGACAATGACTTCCTTGCAGCAATAATTCTTGTCCTTGTAGGATGACCCAAGTGATGTTGAATGTTCCGAAAACAGTCCTCAAGTGACGCCAAGAAGACCTCATCGGCCACGGAAGCAGGAGAAAAAGAAGAGGCGTTGAACTGTTTACATTTCCTGCGACATTACTTTGATATTAATCTCATAATCTTATATCAGATGTTTTTCATTTCGTGACACAAGTTGTCTCTGTTATTCATGAAACGTAAAAAAAAGGGACGACGTTTGTATCAACTGTATTCCTTAAATGAAAAATCATCAATTAATTTATTTTCATAATTCAAGATTCTTGAAAGCTAGATTTTTAGAATGTCTTCAGTTCATTTTCATCTAAGTTATTTACTAAATGGTCATTTTATAATATAATGTCAATCTGTAAAATATAATTTCATCCTACTTTTAAGCATGGAGATATATCTACTTCAATCTCACGTATAACCATTGTAAAACTATTATTTCTATGTGATATTTTATAAAAGAAAAAATTATTATCTTTCATATAATTTGCGAGAAAGATTTTTGAAATACAAATGGTCTTCCAAAAAAAAGATGTGTTAAGTATATATTCTATTTTTATGGAACTTCTCTCAACTTCGTGTATGTACATCAATTGTAAAAAACGTTATTTCTACTTAATATTTCATAAGAGAAGAAATAACTTTCTTATATCAAATTCTTATATAAATATATTTTTTCTCAATATAAATTATATATAAAATTCGCAAGGATTATTTTTGGAATAAAAATATGCTTTTAAAAAGAAAGATGTCTAAAGACATCGAATCTATTCATCGAAGAGTTCCTTTCAGAACAGGCAATTTTAAGATCAATCTGTATTACAATGTAACCGCCTAAGATGATCACAACATAATCTTTCAATACCTGTAATTGCAACATAACCTCTCATACACCATAACCTCTTAATCAAGAAAAGCCACGGTTCATTGATGCGATGAATTTACGTTGATTTGATTGGAAATGCGGACATAATTGAATGATGCTTTGTATCTGAAGCATTATTACTAATAATAATTCAAAAATGCTGCATAATACGGCGACTTTGTCGCCTCAGGACATTTTAACTGAGGTTAGAAAATTCATCTCCGGTGCTATCCGGCCTGCCCATAGTACAAACACACAAGATGTAACCCGTACGGCATTATCTTTATTGAAAAATGTACCCGCAGCGAGGGAAGCTGTACTTGAATATTTTTGTAATGTATTTTTCGTCGCCGTAACAAAATATGTTCGTCAGATCGAGGTATGTAATCGCATTGTATTCTCAATTCATTCGCCCTTTTACATAGCATTTCAATATGATTAAAATAATATCGATAATTCACACATATAATCTTTATAGTCAAATCAGAATATATCGATACCTGAAGAGAGTATTATAGCAGAAATTCATGCTATTCTGAGCAGTTTCATCAATGGAAATCCAGAAGCATGGGCGCCTATCATATCAGCATGGTCGTTGGACTTACTAGGTATATATATATATATAGGTATATATAAATATATAAAATTAATTTATATTTAGTTATATATATTTAGTTATATATATTTAAATACTAAATATATATAACTATATATATATGTACATAAAATTAAATGCATATTTTATTTTATTTTATTTAGGTTTATACATATTTTATTTAGCCCAATAAAAAAATTCATTTCTGCGACATACAAAGTAAACTCTTTCCACAGGCAAACTGTCCTCGGACTATTCAAAACGCGGCAATTTACCTGTCAATGCAGGCATCAATGATTTTATGCAACAATGGATGTCGTGCCATGCAACAAGGACTCTAATAGACATTACGGCCCAATGTCTGCAGTGTCTTATGCATTCTGATACGGAGTCTTGTATCAAGGCATTATTAGACACCAGTGTGATACATAGTCCATATTTCGATTGGGTCGTTGCTCATGTAGGAAGCTGCTTTCCAAACACTGTGATCACGAGGGTGTTATCATGCGGATTGAAAGATTTCTGTGCCATGGGCTATGAACATAATGTCAAGAATCCAAAGTTAAATTCTGTTGTCGGTATATTGGGACATTTAGCTGGTAGCCATTTTCAAGATATTAGAAAAGCGCTGTTAGATTTGTTTGAGGTAAACTTATTATATAAGTTGTATGGTGTATATATTTCTAATTTAAATTATATTATATATTACATAATATATTTGAATAATTTATTTCTTAGTGGAGTTTGGAAGAAAACATAAATCTTGACGAAGATATCAAAAAGCAGAAACTAGCTACTGTACCATTTCTTTTGAATTTGGCTTCACTTTCTCAGACTCTTTTGAAAGCAATAACTAGTGATGTGTTACAAATATGTATGTTTTTTAAATAGAAATTTAAAGTAAATCTAATGTTATCATTACAATTAAATATAGCTATAAAATAATGTTTGTTATAGTGAAATCAGACATCATACCACGACTGGCATTGTTTGCAGCAGATTGGTGTAAATACTTTGATAATCAACCAGCGGCCTTAATGGACTTGACAGTACACTTAATATTAGGATGCGAGCAAGGCGCATCACAAATAATCAATGTACTACTAGATATAAGTTTAAACACGAGCAACGTCGGCTATCACAGTGTTAATGCGGCGCAAAATGTAAAAAACATTTGTCGGGAGATATTAGAATTGATTCTACAGGAGATCGACCTCTTATTAAGAACGCATGGACCGCAATCCGCAAATATTCATCTGCTGAGTTCTATCAAACAGGAGATATCGTTAATAGTACCAATGCTGTTAAATCCAAATCCACTGCGTGTGCAAACGGCTGTCAGGCTGTTATGTTTTCTCAGAAGTCAAAATCCGAACATAGTCGTCTCCACGGTATCCTACATGCTGATGAAGGCGCAAACAATGTTCCATCTTGCGGCCTTAATACGTCTTATCACTAATAATGTTGTACAATTTCCTACGAGTAAATCCGTAACTGAAAATATGCTTGCTAGTCACGATTATTTTACGCAGGTCTTGGAGCAAGCACTCAGAGAAATACACTATAAAAACGTGATAGAAAAGGAGGAATCAAAACAATTGTTCAAAAATCTTATTCTGATGTTAAAGCAAGTGTCAATACTTTAAAATAATTAAATATTTTACAGTTTGATTTAATAATTAGTGTCTCTTTCTATTTACTTAGATGGGAAAAATCAAATAAGGTGGAGATATTGCAGTCACAAATGATTAGCAGAGCCCTCAGAGCTAATTTATATCAAATATCTTGTTTATTGATGAGAAGCGATGATTTTAATTTGGCGAATGATATCATTACTCTCTTGGATCTGTTAAGCACATCCGAAAAAGATCATATTCTCGATATAGAACTTATGCTGAAATTAACAAGGGCGATCATACAGTATTTTTTTTTATGCATTGCTCAAACTGGTAATTAGAATTCTATAAAAAGCCTTATTTTTTTAAGTAACAAAGTGTATGATAATGCAATTTTTTTAGATATTATAAAAAAAGAACAAGGAGTAAAGATGGTATGTCATTTACTGAAAGATTTAACATGTCATTCTACGTCCGCACGTGTATTGGCTCTCAGAGAGATACTAGGAAATAGCATCAATAATGAGCAGGCCAAATACTTTGGCGCAAAGGAGAAATTCGAGCCTCATTTTGAAGAGATGTTATTATTACATCAGAATCATAAACAAGTATAAAAATATAACAAAAGTACATTTAAAATATGCAGAATATGTTTTGATATATGATCTCATCCTAGGTGACAAGTACCATGTTAGCGCAACGACATTCATCGGTATTTCACGCTGGTGTGATAGGACATGGTCCACGGAGACTTCCGCCGGAAAATTCGATCGATAAGGAAATCATTACTTTAAACAAAATGTTACTAATAGACGTCATAAAGGTAAAGAATCTGATAAAGAGTTCATTTTTAGTAAATCTCTAAATTTTATATATTAAATATTCTAACATTCAATTCGAATTATTTTCAGGCTTGTTGCAGCAATCAGGAATCAGATCGATATCCAATTAATTTGGATGCTCTGACAATGGTCAGTTTGTTGTTAGTTGAATTGGTATCGCCTGATGTTATGTACAATGGTTTACCGTGGCCTGACGAGGAATTTACAAAGGTATTATTTATGTTAATTGTTAATATGTTAATTTTCTCAATTAGTTTCACAATTAACTTATTTTTTTATAATTAACTTCTTATAATTGGAAGTTTTTCTTTGAGAACCGATACATTTACAAGATTTATTTAGCTTCAGATATTTTTGGATTAAATTTTATAAACTTTGTTTCTGTCACAGTAGAATATTTTTCCTAAATTTTCCCAATATTGAATGGCAACAAGTTCAAGATCTATTAAATTTAATAAACTAACCGAATCTTCCATTAACAAACAACTATGACATTGAGCTATGTATCATCTCTTGTTATTTTAATTTTTCATTATTGCAGGTGACAATAGAAAGAGATTTACAAATCCGTCGTAAATTCAAGGATGTTCCTCTATTGTGGACATTGTTAGAATTGACTGCTTGGTATAGGCCAGCATTAGCATATTGTTCCGTTTTACTGAGAGGCATTACCGCAACTGTCATGGCTAATTGGAATACAGAGGAAGGCGTTTCGCTTGTCAATATAATGGCACTTGGTCAATTATTACCACCACCGCTGGCGAGTATTAGAGACATCCTACCTGTTTTACAACCTCACCAGGTCTGTTTTTATTTCTACAATATTATTTCAATTAAATGCATATATTCAAATTTTTTATATTTCGCAAATGGTTCTGATTGCAGATAAGTACAATAATGAGAGAATGTTTGTGGGCGTACATGCGTGAAAATGTGCCATCTCCAGCGCTATTTACGCGAAACGAAGGTACCAATATAGCCTGGAGAGATATCGATATGTCGTCGCCCAATGCACGTTTTACAGATACTCTTCGTTTAGTATTATTGGCAAATATTCACACTTTAGGATCTCTGTATTCAACATTATTTTACAATGAAAATAAATAATATAAAATGCAATATATTTTTAAAATGTTTAAATTATTTTCAATTGTATACGTTTTATAAATACTAGTAATCGCACTTGACAGTAATAATATATGTAAAACTTGATAAATAATGAAATTGTATTATTCATATCCTTTTTTTCCTTTTTTTTTCTAATACTTATATTATAAGTAATTTTTCATATAAAAGCATATTTTAATAGTATGATTGATACAATATTATTAAAATATTTAGCTTATATGAAAATCTCTCTCTGTCTCGATTTATCATATAACATGTGTTTCAAAATATATAAATACTAAGATTAAATATTTCCACAAGTTTCATGTATTAAACACCATTAACAGTAAGTACATTTGGACATTTAGTTGTTTCTCCCTGTTACATTGATATCCTATAACAATAGTTATAATTCATATATATCTTATGTAACAATCTTAAATATAAAGTAGAAAATGACAGTCACACACACTGTATAAAATAGAAAGTAATCTTTACTAGTTTCTTGTATACATTCTGTTTATAATATGTAACATATTACATAATACATGGATCCTTCTTTTTATGATATAATCAATTGATTGTAATCTTCAATTAAATATGGATAGAAATTTTATTTTTGGAAAGTACTCCATGATATAGAAAATATTCGTGATGAGATTATGCACAAAGCGTAATAAAGCCATTAAGGAGTGAAACAAGGAAGACGAAAAGAAAAATATACATATGTTTAATATTTATAAAAGCACATTTTCTCTCTTAAATACATATGTAAGAAACAAATATAATTAATATTTACTTCGTATTATATATTATCAATATAGGAATGGATGGTATCTAAGATGAACGAACGCTGTTCGAATTGCTGCACGAATACCCTAGGTGGGTGTCTCGTCCTAACTGAAATGATTATTTCATATAATCGTATGCAAAATCGGTTCAATTCATATATATATATATATATATATATTTATATATATATATATAAATGTCACGATTTTACTTGTACGCCATTGAGTCTTCACACGGCTCTGTCTACGTCAAATTACAGAGCCTAAAAACGCTAGTAAAAAATGTTGAAAATATTTAATCACTTTCTTACTATGTACACGCTGCTCGTTGTACGAAAGATATTAAATCTTACACGCAAGCACGATGCTGTAGGACAGGCATCTTCTGTGCTTGCGTTTGCGAGCAATAAATGTTTATGTTCTTATATAATCTCTACGCTCCGTCATTGTATCTTGCCTCTCTCAGTTGGTGCTTCGTGTACCGTTTGACACAGCGTAGAATCAATAACGTTTAATGTAAAAATAAAGGTATGTTCTTTTTCTCGATATTACATAAACAAAGCTCTTATAAATTTAATGTAAAATAGAATTGTTAGAACAAATTTGAAAGTATATCAATGTATACCATTTGAATGTATATCAAAGTATGTGTCAATGGTCACGTTAATATAGTCTGCGTAAAAGAAGCACATAGACTTTTTTCAGAATTGTCATCGGCAATATAATCTTTTGAGCAGAGAATCAACAATATATACCAATGATAAGTTAAATATGTGCGACTTTATGCATAACAACGGGGAACTTTCGTTTGGCGCCGGTGTCTATCATTCTATGAGCTCCGACATAAACACACAGTTGCCAATCCAACTCTCTTACTTTACAATAAATTATTTTACTCAGTTCTTCAGAATTAAAAAAGTTCACTTTTCAAGTCTATAGATGAATTAAGTTTAGAAGAGTAACGTGCTCATGCCACCCATTTCACTTTGCTCCTTCACAAAGATCTCGAAGTATTGGTATATGATTGTGACAGCAAGCAAGATACCGGTACCAGAACCAATCGCGCCCAAGAAGTCTGCTAATACGGAGAGAGCTCCAATACATAGTCCACCGAATGCCGCGGCGGTAGGGATGTATCGATTTAATTCGCGAATCATGGAATTATCTCTGTGGCCTCGCATTACCATCTGCTGTTCTCTCAGTTGTTTAGCAACCTAAAAATTCAATGATGCATATCATAAATTTTTCTATAGCGTCGAGAAGATTTACATACATCATCTTTTAGAGAAAGTTATACTGACGTCTTTTGCCGAGCTGCCAGAGACCTCAATCCACGTCTTGGAGAAGAAAGCGCATGAGCCAAGCATGAAGAGAATGTAGAGCACGGCGTGAACAGGATCTTGAACGATGTGGCCGACTGATTCAGGAGGTGATAAATAATAACATAATCCGCCAACTGGATATGATCTGGCAGGCCCTCCGCCACCGACGTCCGACCAAACACCTAACAGATTCACTATAAGATTTCCTTGAAACTTGACGGCTAGCATCTGAGAAATGACGTATAAGTTGGACACCAAAGCCGATTGCAGAATAATCGGAATATTGCTGGTGTAAAACAGTTTGATTGGATAGCTGCTATACTGGCCGCGGTATCTGGCGGATTTGATCGGAAGGTCTACAACGGAGCCCCAAAAAA